CAAAGAGAAGCATTGAGACTGAGAAGTTCAAGTGCAAAGCAATGAGGTCATTGAGGAACTTCCTTCTTTTAGGGAGTTCCCAAATTCTTCCTGAAAGGCATTGCAGGCAGCAGAGGCACTCCAGGGAAATTCTGAGAGGCCCTGAGTGTCCAGACCCAGTATCTGAAACAGGGACACAGCTTCAAACCCCAAAGTGACATGAGAGGCTTTTCAAGTCCCTTGAAGAATTCTACACCTGATGTTCAGTACAGGGATAAAGAGGATTTAACTCAGACCATTGACCCAAATCTTCCTCCCTCTTCTATCCTTCCAACCTTTTCAACTACAAACACTTGTCCTAAAAGTCTCTGCTCTCAACACCATGGTTCTTTCATGGGGTTGTGGATTCTGTATGGCCAATCCCTTTCCAGGTGCAAACTTTTCTAAATGTATTAACAGAATTACCAAAGTTTAGAGGAAAAGCCACTCAAGAAGCCTTTCAATTCTGTGCTTTAACATTTTCCACTTTCCTGTGTACTAAAAGCTACCCAGAACTCACTCCAAACACAAAAAAGCCCAGCCTAAAATGTTATGTTATATGGATGATTATATCAAGCTCATAGCAGGAGAAGAGAGTCACAGACTTCACACAGGTTCCTGTGGGGCTGTGCCAGGCTGTGCAGAAGGTGAATCACCCAATTCCTGCTCTCTCCAAGTCAGAAATCTGTCCAAACACAGACACACAGACATCTCCCTTTGTAGCAGCTGAATGTTTTCCCCTCCCTGCATTTCCAACTCCCACTGCCTTCCAGGAGCACAAAGCACAGATGTGGGACTTCACTTGCATGAGAGAACTCACGTGGCCTCCCTGAGAAACTCCCCAGGGCTTCCACTTGCTCATTTGCATTTAGTTCATTCAAGATCAATTTGATAAGCAAAAGGGCTAATGAGAAATGGTTTGTAAATAGCCAGATGTTTGCCAGTTCCAGCAGGAAGGAGAAAACAGAACAGCACGGGAAGGGAAGCACTGCTAACTGGGAAGAACCTTGATGAACACTTAATCAACATTTTGTTCACTGAAGTTACTTTTCAAATTGGTAAAGTTGGCATTTCTCATCAGCAGCTATGAAATAATTAAAAAAAAAAAGTTTTCTGAATTAATGATTGAAATATTCAGAATAGTTTTTGCCCAAATTAGGGGTTTGAATTTTCATACCAAGCCAGCTGCCACTACTGCATGTGATATCTTCCCCCTCTTTCCCAGAACAGTTTCCTTCTCCACTGCTGACGGATTGAGAGAAGGGATTTTAAACTCAATATCTGTATTTCCTCCAGCTGTGAATTGTCAGATTCCACATATCACACTCATTCCTCTGGCACTGCCCATCACAGCCCCACTCAGATGTTCCATGGTGTGTTCCCTGCTGGAGAACAGCATCTCAATGGCCCCAGAGCTCCAGGGACACAGCCTTGGGTGTGTCTCTACACCCCCAGTGAGACTCCACCACTGCAGCCCAAATCCTCTGGCAGCATGCAAAAGAGAAAGGACATCATGAGCAAAGTCCTTGAGCACAGCAGGATGAGGTGTGGAGCAGAGCAGGAAGGAGAAACCACTGGACAAACAGCAGGGGAGGGAAAGGAAGAGCAGGGAGACCACAGGAACTCCAATAACAACAGTGAGAGTCATTTAGAAACCACTGCTGGGAGCTGGGTGCAAGCACAGGCTTGGCCAGGGCTCCCAAAGCCAAGGCCATTCATTATTCAGTGTTTGAAATGTGGAGAATATGGAATAATGCTTCTGCTGGAAGGGGCTGCAAACCACTCAGGTGATTAATGCACAGAGAAGAAATTAAATTCCTTTTCATCATTTTTCTGGCAATCTGATGACAGCAGGGCAGTGCTGGCTGCAGACTCCTGAACTGTTCTATGGCATTAAAGCCCCTGACCCCAGGAGAGGGCACCCTGCATTCCCCAGATCCTTGTGGGGAGTACCTGGGGCTCTTCAGCCAGCACTGAAACACACCCAGATCCAAAGAGGAATTCAGAAGGAGCAGCAAGTGCACAGCTATCCTACAAAACAACTGGAAAATAAACAGGAAATCTCTCTTCATGGCTCAGGCCAAGTTTACTCTCTGCACACTGGGCACCAAAGCCAGGGACAGCAGAGTCACCCCTGTTCAAGGTGTGAAGTTCCATCAAACCTCCATGGCTAACACTGTTTCTCCTAAATCCTCTCCATCCAAATAAGCATTTCAAATAATAGAGCAATTAGCATTGCTCTCCATCCAAATAGCATTTCAATTCATAATTAGCATTTCAAACAACCCCACTCCAAAAAGGCAACACAAAGCCCCCCTCAGTACAGCTTTAGTATTTTCCTGTCTGACTTGTTGCCCCTCATGCTCTGGGGTTTTCTTCCTTGGGCTCTTAGAAATTATTTTTCAGAACTGTGTGACCTGAAAGAGTGAAACAACCTGATGCCTTAGTGATGGTATTTGCAGTACCTCTCTTTTGGGGTCTTTAATCATTAAACACCAATTGTTGTGCTTTGCCACCCCAGCCATGCAATTCAGAGAGCACTGGCAGGAGTTCCACTGACTGGAGCACAGGGACAAATATTTACCTTAAACTGCAGCTGGAAACCACCAGATGTGCAGCTGCAGGTTGCAGGAATGACAAAGCTCATCATTTTTACACTAATAGCAGAAAAAAGCTTCTGACACTGGAACCACTTTGATATAAAATAATTGGGGTGATTTGGGGTGTGCTCCCTAAGTGCTTCTCTTCCAGGTTTGTGATTTTAGTGACTGCTTTCATTTTGGCTACTCTGCTATTGCTTGTAAAGCTCAGTATGCAACATTTCTGACCATGTTTTATTATTGCACCAAATATTATTCAAACTACAGGATGCATCCTGTAGAATTCCTTCAGTTCTCCTCACTAAGTGTACAGGAAACAACACTGGATCACTCTCATGATTTTTAAATAAATCACCCTGCTCTATTGGCTGAGCTATTGACAGACCCCACCACATGGAAAGGTCCCTTGGAAAGGTCCCTCCCCACTTTTGGCTCTCTGCTGTCACAGTTTATCTTACCAAGGTCAAGTATTATCAGCTGGGCTCCAGCCTGAGCATTTCCGACATCGTTTTCTGCAATGCACTGATAGAATCCTTCATCAGACTTCACCAGCCCCAAAACTTGCAGGTTATGTTCTTTCTGAGGAGCAAAGGGAGAAAACAACACTTAGAAATGGGCTGCAATTGCCAAAACAATGGTGTCAGGAGGGCATGTTACCGTGGCAGGAGAAACTTCTGACAGCAACTGGGAAAAGTGTGTTTGGAGCTCCCAGATCTCACCTCCCCTGCCCTGAATCCTCATGTTCTAGTGGGTTCAAAAAGCACCAGAAGCTCTCATTAATGGCTATCATTTTCTAGCATTACACAGCACTGGCAAATCCTGATGTTTCCCCAGCTGTTCTGGTGCTATTTAGGACCCTGAGTGAAGCTCACAGTCCTACAAGCCAGGCACACCCCATTACACAGCCATTCATTTCCCAAATGCCTCAATAATGCCTTTCACTGCACCTAAAATCTCCCTCTAGAACACCCCTGTGCTAAACTCACCATCACAACTCAGTTACATTTCTATTTCAGCTCCTGCTAGAAATTTGAATTTTGATGGGGCACAGAGTGCAGCACACACAGTCAGTGGCTGTGGTGGGCTCATCCTTTGACAGTGCATTTTGCCACCCTGCATGCCCAAGTCTCCTGGAAATTCCAAGCTATAAAGACATCAACTCTTACAACACAAGCAATGTCCATTAAAGGGATTCAAGAAACCATTTCTCTTCCAGGTCTCAAACTGTGGGAATCCATAAAATCAGAGGGTTTTGGGAAAGCTGCAAAAGGCAGGCCTCAGAGACAGCTGAACTGTGATTAGAGATAAGCAGTAGCCATAAGATTGGTCAGCAGAAAAATTATGTAAGCAGTAGAAAATTAAGGACAACTAGAACAATGGTGTGTGTATTAAAGCTTGTCTAGAATAACTCCCTAAGCTGCAGAAAAGTGTATCTAGGGAGATATTAGTAAGTTCTAAGCTTAATAATGGAGCTCTGTGCATTGTGTTTGAAGGCTCACAAGCAGGTATTGTATCCAAATTAAGCAAGCATTGTTTTAACCAAAGGTACCTGTGCTTATAGTGGTTGGATGGAACTAATGTCAATGTGCTTTTGCTTTGTGTGATTGGGCAAAAAACTTTTAAAGTGAGTTGTAACATTGAGTTCTTGGTCTGCTG